TAAAAAAATAAAAAGTATACTAATCCATTTCAAAATTCAAATTTGAGGGGCACTAAATATGGAAAGCAATCAATTAATTTAAATTTAAAATTATAATTATAATGCTTTATCCCATAACTTATAAGTTTTAAATAATGATCTATTTTATGATTTATTTATATATCTATATATCTATATATTATTATAATTGCAAAACGTTGTCATTTCATTAAGGCTAAAAGTTGTAATTTTTTTCTCATTTTTTTTATTTTGTTTAATTTTTGTTAATATGTGTTAAAAATATGATTGGTCTATAAATTAATTTTATATTCTTAAAATAAAATTTCAAAAATTGTATTGTTACTTAAATTATGTTACTATAATTAGAATGAGATCAATATTCATTCCTTAAATTTTGCATCATCTATTAAATTATAAAATAAAATTCCAAATTTAAATTCTTCTTCAAATTATGTTACTATAATTAGAATGAGATCAATATTCACATATGTCATAATATTATAAATATAATTTGTTTTAAATACATGTGTTCAAATTATTATTGCTATTATTATTATTATTTTATTTTTTTGTTTTAACTTTTATAAAAAGGGCAAATTACATATACACCCCTCCAGGTTTGGTTAAATTACAGATACCCCCCTGAGGTTTCGGAAATTACATCCCGCCCCCTGAGGTTTGTATTTTCATAACAATTTACCCCCTGAGGTTTATATTTCATAACAAATTACCCCCTAATTTCTTATGCAAATATAGCATTCAGGGGGGAATTCGTAATTTCTCAAACCTCAGGGGGTATCTGTAATTTTGTCAAACCTGGAGGGGTGTATATGTAATTTGCCCATATAAAAAATTTATATCCTTCTGAACTATAAGGACTTGAACAATAATATTGTTTCATATAATTTTTTTTTTAAAAAAGAACAAAATATACTTTTTTTAAGGCTTGCCAAACATGGTGGATTTTGTTATTTATTATTATTATTTTTTATCTCAATTGTTAATTAAGGAAATTAAAATAAAGAATAAAGATATCTTTGGCTCAAATTAAGGTAATTATTCAGTAATTTGAAGTATGGACCTGTGGTATTTCATAGTATTATGATTGGTGGAGAAGGTAGATAGGTTGGGTATTGTGTTGGGTGATTGAGAAACATAAGGGAGCATATTGAATGATAATTGGTTAGGGAGTACAAACATGTAGTACTCCGGGAATATTAAATAATTTTCCCTCAAGTTGTTAAAAAGTAACTTTTGCTAAAATAAATTAGAAAGAAACGTTATTTATTTATTATTAAAAGTGATAGTGCGTTAAATTTTTTCTATTTAAAAAAAGAGAGAGTTATAGGTGATAATTTATTATTCATTAAGAAATATTTTCAGATTAAATAAAAATACCATATTAAATTTTCTTCTTACCTTTTTTTTTATTATTAAAATACTTTTGTTTTGTAAGAAAATTGTTTTTATTCTATTTAACATTTTATTGTAATTGTTAAATTAAAAAGAATTTCTAAAAAATCATATTTAAATTATTTATGTCATTATAAAAAATAAATTTTTTTAATATCAACTTAGTGATTGTTTAGGAAGTGCTAAATAAGAATATTTTTTATTTTTTACGAAAATATGTACAGAAAAGTAGAGATCTAATGTGACCCAAGAAAAATAAATAAATATATATATTTTTACTTTTTATGAAAGATGTATAGAAAAGTAGATATGTGATATGACTTAAAAAAATAAAAAGATAAAAAAGTAAATTAATATGGCACTTCCCAAACAGCCGTTTATTCGATGATCCCTTTCTAAAAGTTGTATTTTTTAAATTTCTGCATAAGTCCTCACTTAATTAAAAATTATATTGTTCAATCTTTAAAAAAATTTAAGCTTGACTAAAATTTGCTTCGGTTAAACTTATCTAAGTTTGTAATTCTCGCGAGGAGGTTGAAAGTTAATGGTTAAATTTGTAACAAATTAAAAGGTAGGGTAAAGTATACTAATAGTTTATATAGTTTGGAGCTTGTGTCACTTTGGTCACTGATTTTTCAATTGTGACATATTTGACCCTGAATTTTGAATACTGTTCCAAATAAGGACAATTGAAGATATCATTATATTTTTCAAGGATAAAATCGTCAATTTGATAAAATATAAACTAATTTGACAAAAACAAATGTCAAACAAATATTTTTGAGTTTTCAAAAATTATTTCTGTCCACTAAAAATAAAATAATGTAAAATTAATAAAACTTTTAGACATTTATTTTTTTTTTTACCAAATTAATTTTTATTACGTATTTAGATGATGATCATGTAAAATTAATTTTTAAAAATTAATCATGTAACTTTTATTAATTTTTATCATTGGTGGATAAAAATAATTTTTAAAATATTTAAAATATTTTTTTGACATTTATTTTTGTCAAATTAGTTTATATTTTATTAAATTGACGATTTTATCCTTGAAATTAAACAATGGTATCTTGAATTGTCCTTATTTAGAACAAGATTCAAAATTCATGGTCAAATATGTCACAATTAAAAAGTCATGGACTAAAGTAACACGAGTCCCAAACTATAGAGACTGTTAGTATAATTTGTCCTAAAAAGTAATAAATAAATTGTGATAAAATTATAAGACTTAAATTATAAATTTCAATCTTCTTTGTTTTCATAATTTACATACAAAAATTTAATTATTTATATTATTTTGTATAAAAATATATTATTAATTTTTTTTTTATGCCATCAATAGCACAAATTACTACTAGTATAGATATATAAGAGTCATAAATATTAAGAAAAGACGACTAAGAAGCAAGGCACGTAACAAGCTGTGCGTCTAAATATTTTCACAATTTTCTCCTTTGTACTTCTAGTACTGATTTTTCCTTATTTGGTGTAAGTTTTATTGGTCAGATGGATTCGTTTTAAGTGTAGTCTGTCTTACCTTAATGAAAAATTTTACTGAAAAAAAGTTTTAAAAAAAAATAGAAGCTGCGCACGTAGGGATGCTGCTTTAGCCACCAAATGTGCCTGATGTCCGTCTGGGCACCTTGTTAATAACATAGCTCACATCCCATTCACAAATATCGCAGTCCACATACTTACAACAAGCAAAAGTAGTGTTTGAATACGCATTTCTTTCTTTCACAATTAAGTTCGCAAAACAATATCCCACGGTCCAAGCAACACTCTTAACCTTAAACCCTGCTATAGACACAAATGCCATTCTAACATGCAGATAGGGTATTACAAGAAGTGGAAGAAGTAAAAATATTATTCTTCAGCCTCAACAAAGTATACAGACACATCAAAACTGTGATGTGTATGAAGAATATCTTTGAAATAAGAAAAGAAAAAAAGCAGGTACTTTACCCCCAAAAATAAATAAAAAAGGAAAGAATATTCTCAAATGACTTTCCATTACATTGTCATGGAAACACAATGGGGGTGTTTGGTGGAGCTTTTTTAAGTCAACTTATGACTTCTGGCTTTTAAAAAGTTATTTTGGACTGTTTGGTTAAACTTATTTCAAACAGCTTCTGATTCTAACAACTTATTTTAAGCCAAAAAAGCTGATTCTGAGAAGCTACTCACCCCTTGCTTCTGATTATCAGCTTCTGCTGTGGACATGGTAATTCACGGTTATACTCTTAGATTTTTTTATTTTTTATTTTTTTAAAAATAGAAAAAGACCTAAATGGACTATTAAATATTATTATTATTTTTTATGAAAAATGTAGACATATAGTGAATAATAAAAAATAAAAATTAATTGAAAAAGCTACTTCACAGCTTATTTAACAAACACTACTCAGCAACTTAAATCTATAATCCAACAGTTATACCAAACAGATTAACAGCTTCTGATTAAAATCATAATCTATAATCTGTTAAGGTATAATCTATAATCCATTTTAACAGCTACACCAAACAGCACCAATGAATCCTCACTGCAACTCAATTTTAAGCCATTTTGACCATGATTCAGAGACGGTTTACAGAAAGAACGGTTATATTGGCCCCGTTTGGTAGAGTTGTGGAAAAATGATTATAACTTATAGCCTAACAGCTTATAGCTTATAATTGTGAACATCGGTTGATTTTTGATTTATAAATTAAGCTTCTCCTCTCCCACTCAAAGAATAAGTTGATTTTTGACTTATAAAAAGTTATAAGTTGTATTGTTAAGCTAAACTAAACACATCAAAATAGTTTAAATTAAGCTAAAAGCTAAAATAAGCTGAAAATAAATCCTACCAAACAGGGCCATTATACCCAGTGAGAGAGTGGGGATATAGCCAAGTAGGTGGATCACAAGCAGAAAACAATAGGTACATCTTTGACTGAAGGTGGAAGTAATAAATATTCTTCGCTACAAGGTTGTCTGCTATATTCTGATAACCAAAATTTAAGTGCCACCAGGCAAATGCAAGGGGTGAAGCCACTGGCCTAACATACAAGGTTTGTTAATAACTTGCCTAAAGATGTGTTTCTGCTATTGGGACATCAACAGAAGATTAAGTTAATCAGGTAGGATGAAGCACTCAACGTGAAAGACCTAGAAAATGTTCAGTAAAGCTATAGAATGTACCTTCTTTCATGATATTGATGAGAACTTATCGCACATTGAGAAGACCGAAACAATAAAGTTATCTCCTAAAATTCATCAACAGTAATGCTCTGGAACCATACAGAAATATTTCTTAGGAAAATTATTAGAGGGATGCCATTTAAACATAGGAAAGGAACAAGGGAAGACAGACCAATGGATATCAGGTAACCAAAAATAACAAGTATAAACAGGAAGAATTCATCCCAAGTTATTATTAAAGCCTTTTTAGTTAAATAGAAATGAAATAATTTTTCTTTCAGCGAACAATAACCATTTACTCCAATTATCAAGAGGCCCCAACATTTAAAGCATAAATTGACTATCCATAAAATAACTGATTACTAGATTCAATAAGCTACATACATTTCCAGTGTGGATGTAACCTCAGCATGAAGAAAAATATCATAACTTCACTACATGAGACAGAACCATTAAAACTTCCCCATGGTCGCTCAGAGTTCCAGTAATTTAGACTAATGGGTTTGTTCCAGGTCTGACAAAAAAAGTAAAATCATCTGTGAATTTTTTTAACATATACATGCCCATATGCTTGAATGATACTACAAGAAGCATTACAATTGTTAAGAACACTACTAAGTTGCTAAAATCTAATTACTGAAGATAACGCAAAAACATAGCCACAATTATAAATCAATTACTACCACGACATAGAAAGGGAGCAAAGCATGTAAGCCAACATATATCTCTCAACCTTAATACGAGCACCGCTTGACCAAGCTAAATTGGTGGACGTGTCCATCCAAAACAAGGAAGCATGCAGCGCCTCCAATAATATTTCTGAATTCATTTCAGGTTCGCAAAAGCATAAGCTCTGCCCCCAAACAAAGTCGGGAAGCCTGCCAAACATTATGAATGCAGTCAACAAATCAAATTTCTCTAAACTAACAACAGAACCACCCAAAAAAACACAGCTAATGACTGGCATTAACGCGAAAACAACAATTCTCCCTCAATTCATTCATATTACTGTTCATGTTTACATATTGAACTAATACATGATGTGCAATGTGCGGTACCAATGCGAAGTAAAGAAATTAGACATCTTTCTATTTTCCGTAAATCCCTTTTCCTCTTTACATAATTCAGTGCATTTTACCTCTAATTGAGCCCTAAATGTAGCAGAAACAACCCATCCAACCTCCAATTGTTTGTGAGTATCCTCGTTTTTATCTCATTTCCGGTGAGAGAGAGAGAGAGAGATCAAGAATTCGGTAGCATCTAGTGGTCTCATTATCTACCTCTGGGAAAAGAAGGATTCAATTGTTAGTCTCATCCATGAAGTTAAAGCAAATTCACAAAATTACATATATATGTATACGCGTAGAGAGAGAAAGAAAGAAAGGAAACCCATACCAGAGCTTCATGAACTCGATAATAATCCGCAGAAACGCCAGCCAAATACAAGCCAGGAAAAACATTCTGTGAAGACCAATCAAACATTAAGCAAAAAACAAATAAACAATCGAACATTAACACAAGAAGAAGAAGAAGATCAATCTCTCTCACATCGACTTGTTTTTGAACAGTTTTTGGCCTTTTCTTGGGCCTCCGAGCTGGTCTGGAACCAGTCATCGCGTACACATCTTCTTCAATCTCTTCGCGAGACAGAGCGATCCAGAACTTCCTCTTCTCCGATCCCTGACCTTCAACGAAGCCTCTCAACCTCATCGATTTCGGCAAGTTGTCAGTCTGCTGCTGCTGCGCCGATTCCTGAAATTCTCCATTCCTCGAAACCCCTCCGATCTCAACCGCAGCCTTCGAAACAACCTTCCTCGGCCTCAGATTCCACGGCTTCGCCACCGATTCATCGCCTTCAACGACGTCGTTCCATACCTTCTCCTTCTCTCTCTCAACATCCTCCTCGTTCTCAAAAACCGTCGCTTGTTGCTTCTGCAACGAACAGGACGCGAATGAAAACCGGTTCCTCTGCGCACTCCGCGATCCGACCCCAACCTTCGGGTTCTCCGACTCATTCTTGAAACCAGAACCACCACCGCCGTCCGACTCCTGCTCCGACGGTGACGAGCGGTGGTTCTCCACCGCCTGCGGCGGAGGAGAGTCCCAGAGCATCGTGTCGGAGGGGCGGCGGAAGCGGTGGTTGGAGTTCATCTGGTTCTTGTGGCCCCATTTTAAGAAGGAAAGAGAGAAGTTGTGAAGAGGCTGAGACTTCACCGGAGCAGTCGCCATTAGAGAGAGACTTTAGTACTCCTTCAACCAAACAGTGAAGATTTGTAGAGAGAGAGAGAGAGAGAGAGAAGACGACGAACAAACAAACCTCAGTATTCTTCTAGAGAGAGAAAGAGAGAAAACAGAGAAACCCTAACACAATACAGTAGAGAGAGAACAATGGGGAGAGGAAGCATAGGGTGGTGTTGGGTCTGTTGGCGGAGATGTTTTTAGAGAGAGAAGAAGAAGAAGACGAAGAAGAAGGCGAGAGGGGAGGGGGGTTTTATGTTGTGTGCGCTATCTGTCTGTGTACAAAAGCGGGAGTTCGTTTCTGTACGCATACGCTATTTATTTATTTATTTATTTTATTTTATTTTTGACCCAACGACGTTATTTTTTAGATTCAATAATAAGTTCAATAATTAATGGGAAAATCGGTCTAGGGTCCCTCTCCCACTTTTCGTAATGAAAGAGGTCTACAAAATTATATTATGATGTCTAAAGTCCCTACAGAGAAATTTCATATCCCTCACCCTTCAAACCTCCATAAACCAATTCGATGATTTTGATAAAAATACAGATTCTCTCCTGAGGTTTGAGAAATTACAAATTGTCCCATGAGGGTCAAATTTTCATAACAAATTAGGAGAAATTAGGAGGGAATCTGTATGAAAATAAAAACCTTAGGGGGCAATTTGTTATGAAAATATAAACCTCAGGGGGCGGGATGTAATTTCTCAAACCTCAGGGAGAAATCTATATTTTCACTAAATCTCGAGGGGGTGTTTGTAATTTGCCCTAAGATTTTTTGTGTTTTTTAAATTAAACTCTAATATTTCAATTGCATCAATTTAAACTCTGACTTTCTTATTTCGTATCAATGTTAACTATCTGTTTATCTCTGTTAACTTGTTTGACAAGAAAAAAAAAATTAATACATACATGACACATTTTCATTCGTTCATTTTACTTAATATTAATCTTATATTTGAGTATGATTACACCATATCAATACAAACATATATTTATCATCTATTACATCAGAGCCATTCATCATATACTTACCATGAACTTCAATCCATTATATCAAAACAGATGTAGTTTCTTACTTTTCCCCTTTTTTTTTCTTCTACTGGTGCCGACGCATAGTCACCACCCTTGGCCTTTCGCCGCCACCCCCTTGCTCAACTTCACCATCATCAGCTCTCTTTGCCACTTCTTCTCTTAAATCCACCACACCTAACTCTCCATCGCTATCTATTTCCTTTAGATCCCCTATTGATAACCCTCATCTACTGCCAATCTCCACTACTACCATCCCTTTCAAATCCGTCACTCCATGTTACAATCTTCGTCAAATCCACCATCACTAGCCCTCTTCTGCCACTGCCTCCCTTAGATCATCCACTACTAACCCCTCCATAAAATTTGCCATCCTTCAAATCTGCTATGACAAGCTCTTTCCAGTAACAACTATCTCAGTTTTGTCACCTCTATTTCAGATCCACTACCTCTAGCCCTAACAATAGAGAACCCTTCCCAACAATAGTGAAATGAAGAGAGAGAAAGAGAGAAAGAGAGAGAGAAGAAGCATAAAAATAACATATATTGAGAGTGTAAGCTACTATAAACGTGAATTAACAAAAGAACATATATTGAGAGTGGTACGAGAGGGAAATGAAGATGATGGGTAGCATTGGGGGAGGGGGCAAAGGGGATGGGCAATGACGTTAGGAAATGGAAAGATAGAGAGATGGGCGATATTGGAGATGGAAAGAGGAGTTGGGATGAGGACTGGGCTAGTCAGCTCTATAAAATTGATGTGACGAAGATGGGTGATGTTGAAGAATGGCTGGAGAATTGTTGGTCATCCATGGAGATTGTAACGCCCTCAAAAAGATACATATACACCCAACATTCATGATATTCATAGACAAGAGAATAAAACATATTTCCATATATCAGAGTATTCTTACAAAAAGTAATACACGTTGACAACAAAAGTAAATGCCCTGTAGGCTTACAACTTTCCAAGTCAACACTTGGTTACAACAAAAGAAAAGCTCTAACTCTTTACATAAATAAGCCCTTGGCTTGAATTTACATGTATCACCAAAAATAATAAAATAAACAAAAGAGTTTTCAACTCCTAGGACCTTCCAAACTACGTCCTTGGAGGTGGCAAAACACCTGAACCTGAAAATGATGTCCCATATAAGGTGAGCTAACGCCTAGTAGAGATATGCTAAACATAATATGAGCAATAACTAAAACATCGGCATTTGATAAATGTTTAACTCTATAAACAAACATACATTTCTTTCCATTTCATTATCCAAACCAATTCATAGATATGGTTCCCTATTCAGCTAGACAGTTCATATTGAGCCTACAACTTACATTAACAATACTTCAACTCAATTTCAAATGAGACTACAGCTCATATTGATAATACTTCAATTCAATTTCAAATGAGACTACAGTTCATATTAACAATACTTCAATTCAATTTCGAATGAGACTACAACTCATATTAACAATACTTCAGTTCATCTACGTTATGCAAACGCAATTAGGATTTCGGGACTTTCACCTTGGACGCTCCGGCCAACTTAATTATCACTGGAGTCCATCCCCTGTCTCCTCCCAAATTCGGTTTAGGAGTCCATCCCCTATCTTCTCCCAAACCGTGGAGTACATCCCCTATCTCCTCCCAAACCGTGGAGTACATCCCCTATCTTCTCCCAAACAACATACATATACAATGTATTTAAACACTTATCATATACAATAATCAAGCAAAGCACATATTCAATGTGTTATTTCATCCATCATATTCAATGACATACTCATATGATTAGTTTTAATTCACCTAATCATTATGCAGTGTCTACAATAATCAAGACTATCTTCCACCGATAGCCCAAAACATTTATTTCTAAGCAGATAATAAATTAGCAAACAGATAAATTATCTAAAATTTCAAAGGTAAGTGATTAATTAATCCAACTCCACCATTAAATCTCATAATTATTCAATTTCATTATTTCCAACTCAACTTCATATTTTCATAACTTTCCTGAATTAATTATACAAATTAATTCATTACAATAAATTAGGGCTTTTCTCCCCCTTTTCTCAACATTGACCCAAAGGTCCAAATATCATTAATAAACATCAATAACCTTATTTTATGACCCAAAATACACATGTATTGGTCAAAAGAACAAAACACCTCTTTATACATTTTGAAACCCTAACACCCAAAATTACTCAACTTCAACATTAAATCAAAATAACCACAAGTTTATGTTAAAGACCATAAGTATGAGTAGTAATTCCTACCTCAAATTTTGGAGCTCAAAGAAGAAGAAGGAGAAAACTCGAAGGTGCTTCAAACTTAATGATTTTCGAATCAAAATGTAGCCCACACCAAGCTCCACACTTTTTACAAAGGGACTAGGGTAGAAGATCACTAACACTAGATGATTTCTTAGAGAGAAGATGTAATCTAGAGTGAGAAGCTCTCAAGTTTGGGTTTTGAAAAGCTAGAGAGAGAGAGAGAGTCGAAAAAGTGACTAAAAATGCTAAAATTCGGACTGATATAATGCACAGTCCGCTCGAGCGTGGAACGCCCCGCTCGAGCGTCAAACACAGATTCCCGCTCGAGCGTGAAAAGCGACGCTCGAGCGTCGAATGCACATTTCCAGAAGTTTTACAGACGAAGGTCCCCGCTCGAGCGTAAAAGTGGATGCTCGAGCGTCCGATGACCTGCAGCAAAAAGTACTGAGTTTGAATAATCATGCTCGAGCATCAAAATGCCCGCTCGAGCGGAGGAACAAAAGCAAAGGGCCCGCTCGAGTGTCAAAAGCGCCGCTCGAGCGTGAAGGCCAAAATCTGGGCATCAACTCTTGATTTTCAAACACAACCAATCTGTTTCAAACCTGCCCAACACAACCCAAGACTCAAATACAAGAGCAAAGGATGGAAATAAGAATAAGACAACAACCAACATCCACGGACTCGAGCCTGGAATATAATTTAAACAAATAAGTGAAAACCGGGATCGCTATAGAGATAATGAGCTATGAAGTGATGAAAAGATAAAGAGAATTGATATGGTATGGTTCATACTATGATAATATTGAAAATGGATGGCTCTGATATGTTGATAAGTATAATTTTGATATGATTTGGTCAAACTTAAAATTAGAAATAATATTAATTTAAAGCATCAAGCAAGAACATGTCACGTGTATTAAAATTCCGTTGAATGGTTTAACTGATATAGATAGCGGGTTCAAAATGTATTAAAGTTTAAAATTCAGGGTTTAATTGATACAATTGAAACATTAAGGTTTAATTTGAAAAACATGCAAAACTTTAGGGGGCTTTTTCTAATTTGCCCAAAAAATATTAGAGACTATATTATTTTATATATTTTAATTGTCACATAATTTAGTTTGAAAAATATATTTAATATTGTAGAAGTTAATAGATTGCCTTGAAGTATTACACCTCCCCATTTATAGAGAGACACTTGTCCAATTGTCTCTTGAGAAAGAGTTGATAGGTTACACTATTTCAATCAATAAAAATTATTGAAATTATTAATAGGTCATACTTTTGGGATTTATTACCTTTTTACCATTTGGTAACAACTTTTTTGCCTAAATAAGTATAAAAAAATAAAATAGACTAAATAAGTGAATAAGACAAAATATTATATCCAAACTATAATCATTTTAATTTTTCTCTCACAACCATCACATTCAAACTAAAAAAAGAAAAATGTTTGAGGGGCCGAAATCAAGGCTCGAATTTGGCTCAACGCAAAACGACGTCGTTTTGTGTTTCGATTTTTTTTTTTCTTCCTTTTCTTTCTTTCTTTCTTTCTTTATTCTTCTTCTTCTTCTTCTTCTTCTTCTTCTTCTTCTTCGTTTGAACACAAGCGAGAGAGAAACAGAGGCGAGATGCGAGATAGAGAGTCGTCGTCGTCGTCGTCGCAGCTCGTCGGTCGATCGTCGTAGATCGTCGCTCGTCGCTCGTCGCATCTCCGCCTCCGCCTCCGCCTCTGGCCTCATTTTTATGGCCCCCTCCAGTTCTGCTTCTCCTTCTTCTTCTTCTTCTTCTTCCTCATTCTCTTCTTCTTCCTTCTTCTTCCTTCTCAAATTCGAGCCAAATTCGAGCCCCGGTTTTTCGGGCTCTGTACTGGGGCTGCTAAAAAAAATCAAAAGTTCTTCCTAAAACTAATTTAGTCACTAAATTAGTTCTTCTCAAACGAAACTTAAGTCTTATTGATAAATTTATTAGTCT